ACATTGTTTGTACTCCTGCTCGTTTTTGAGGGTAAATTTCTACAGGGTTTTTCGCGCATTACACATATCGAAAACCTTGCTCACCTGTTAGTTTTTGGGGGTTTTCGAGCTCTTTTCATTTCCCAAAGCAGTTTTTACTAGGAAGTCTCTTGCACTGCTAAATCTCAGCTTCAGTTTTCTAATGAAATTTTTTGTTGTTCATCTTCGACTGTGACCGAGTGGGGTTAAGGTCGTGTGGGTTGAAGAGCATGAGAAGCGTTCATACCTCATGGATTTGCTGGACGCTGGAGGTGGAAATTCGTTGACATTGGTATTTGTCGAAACTAAGCGGGGAGCTTCCGATCTCTCGTACTATCTCCAGACCGCTGGTTATGAGGTGGTAGCAATTCATGGAGATTTAAAGCAGTTTGAAAGGGAAAAACACTTGGATTCTTTCAGGTATCTTTTACGCGACATTAGTTCTTCAGAGCTAGATCAGAAAAGTTTGTTTTAGAACTGGAGCTACACCAGTTATGGTGGCAACAGCAGTTGCAGCTCGAGGTCTCGATATTCCGAATGTAAAACATGTGATTAACTATGATCTACCTTCTGAGATCGATGAGTATGTACACCGTATCGGTCGTACGGGACGTGTGGGAAATATAGGTATGGAAATATGGTATAGTTAAATTCTATGACACTGTTAACGTGATTACCTTTTTCAGGTCTTGCCACATCTTTTTTCAATGAAAAGAATAGAAACATTGCGAGAGATTTAATGGACCTTATTGTTGAAGCAAATCAGGTTTGACGCAATGTTTTTAATACTTGAGAATGGTAAAAGAATAGTCCCTTTTAGGAGCTACCGGACTGGTTGGAACGCGTTGCTGGCGATGTAGCTCGTTATGGCACTCGCAGCGGAGGAGGTCGCGGCGGTCGCGGTAGCGGCGGTAACAAATTTGGAGGTGGGCTGACTTCTTGTATCTGTTCTCCTTTTTTTTTGAACTGCTTTTTCGACTACCAGTCAAATATCTTACTTGGATTTCTGATGCCTGTTTTTGGAGTGTATCTTTACAAATAATTGTTGTTCTTTCTAATGAGTGCCAACCTCAGTTCTCTGCAATCTTTGTCAAACTTCTCAAGGTAGAAGACCTTAATTGCGTCTACCACGGAATTC